TATGGCAACTTTCGATTATCTTACAATGCGTGGCTACCATAGTGCATGTTGGTTACCACATACTACCACAAACTATTGATTCATGTTGAGAGGTCATATTGTTTTTTTCTTGGCTTCCTATGATTTCATTGTGTTTTGTTTATGTTCATTTTACCTTGGCTACTCTGATTCTATTTCATTTTGAGAGGTCCCAACCCCTTGTTCGATCATATAGACCGGCTATATGTTGGTTGGATCCAAATATTTCCCATTGGTTGGTTTTCAACATCAAGTACAGCATGTTCAATCATTCAATATCATTCAACTGGACAGCTTTCAAGGCCAAGATCCTGATTCCCTCCATGCTGCACAACCACCGGAAGGCCAACAACCTGCAGGAGAGGTCGCAGTTTTCTTGCCTGAAGTCTCCGATCCCATGGAACATTCAGAAGTGTGACGTAATGTAGATAAAATGTGCAATATATATATATATAGAGAATTATAATTATATAGGTATAGATGCACGCCACATTGATTTACTTGGTGTGTTTTTTCCGGCACATGTTTCAGACTCAATGGAACCCGAGCCCTGCCTTCTGTTGGACCCAAGACGCCGCATTCGCTCACGTCGGTCGCCCGGTTCGCCTCGGATCGCCTGCGAGGGGGGTCGCAGGAGGCCACGAAGAAAAGGGAACAAGCCCTGGCGATGCGAAGCATGAAGAAGCTCCGCGATGCTTGGAATCCCAAGGAGGTTCCAGACAGCTTAGTGCCTTGGATTTTTGCTGGGTTCCAGACAGCTTTGGCCTGTTGTGCCTCGGAGGTTCTCGTTGGTTGCTTTTTGGTTTGGTCAGACCTTTTTGGGATGGTCTTGCGGTGTTAGGGGATGAAGGCTTCTGATGAAGTTGAGTTGCAGCTGACACTCATTTCACAATATAGGTAACTATTATTACATGGGTTTTGGACGCCATTTGTGGAAGGAAAAGCATCAAGAAACCCCATTTTGCAGTGTGCATTTGTCAGAGCTTTGGTAGCTCTTTTGGGAGGTATTGTTTGAGCTGCTATAGTGCGTAGAAGCTTCAACACCCCATTTCTGTGGAGAAAGAGTCTTGAGCGACCTCCAAATTTGTCAGGAAAGGTGGTGACCCCAATTGATTCACCTGGCCTGTCAGGTAAAGGATGAGTTTATGATGGATAGCCTACATGTGGGCCGCTTGATTGGGAAAGGTGGCAGCAACATCCGAGCCTTGCAGAATGAGTTAGATGTGAAGATCTGCATTTTTGACAAGGATGAGAAGAAGACGCTCGGCCAAGGAAGGCATGTGATGCGTTTGGGCATTGCGTTTTGGGTCACGTTTCGTCGCGTTTCGAACTCGGAGTTCCGAGGTTGGACCTGGACCGTTTGGGCAGTGCATCCATGCATATCCATGCTTAGCTGCTTGTTGGGGGTGGTCAAGGTTAGAGTTTTGGGCGGCTTTCATGACCCTCTGGGAACTTCTCCACCTCTTCCTTGAGCAAGGCCAAAGCTAATATAATTATAATAGTTTGTCTAGTTCTTGGTGGTGGATTTTTCGATATGCCTCGCTGTTTGGAAGTAGTGGAGTTGTTTTCATCTTTGAATTTATATAGTCATCCAGCAGCCCGTGTCCATCCTGTTACCGAGCCTCCAATCCTTGAGCAGGACTGAGTTTGAGGCCGAGAAATATGAAGGTCGGGTCAAAACCAGGATACCTTGGTGACCTGCCCGGCGGTCCTCGCGACGGCCTGTGCGCCAAACGGCCTCACGCCTCTTCAACTCCGCTGGGCACGTGGGAGTGGTGATGAATGTCTACTACTGGTGATGGACATACAAAGAAAACGGTACGCAGGACCAAGTCCTGAAAAGTGAGAAAGAAGCCTACACGATAACATATGAAACCAAATCTCCGCTGCAGTACGTATATATGTGTGCACAAAAACCTTCACTTGGATGACCTACCTGGAGACAGGTCACCATAGTTGGATTGCTGCCTTGGGGTTCACCAGCTGTCCAACACAAGGCCAACCTTCCATTTTTGGTTCGCACCAATCCTGTTCATCCGCTTCGCAACTCTTCGCCAACCGGCGTGAGGAAGTCCATCGTGGTATTGGGTCCCGACAAGGACAAGGTCTTTGAGGTACGCAAGAACTCCCAGATTTTGCGGCAGCGGAGGAAACTGGATCCTGAGATGAAGAAATGGGTCACCTCTAGAATCACTTTGCTGGAGACTTGGCTCAATATATCCTATTTAAACTTAAAACATAAGCCAATTGAACTTCCAGGTGCCCAACCATGCATTGGAATGAGAATTTAGGGGAAGTTGCCAACAGTATTTGTGTGCGGAGCTCCATGTGCAGCATCGACCATGTGTTTCCCATTGTTTTCCTCAGTGTAAACACACTTTGGGCATGCCATGGGGTTCCCGATGTAGAGTCTAGAGACCATTGCCGAGCTATAGATATTTTATATATCATACTTTAAGTTATATAATGTCCTGAAAGATTGCCTGGTAAAAGGTACCTGCTAGAGGGTCTAAAGTGGACCCCAATGCAGATCGAAGTGAACGCCACCTAAGGAGATGATCCAGAAGATGTGCGGCCTCAACTCCATCCATTTGGAGGGCCAAAACATCTCTTTGACCGGGACCAAAGAGGCCTGCGAACAAGGCCTCAAATTCCTCGATGCGCAGTTGCAGTCTCTTTGTCACGGACCGATCGGGATGGAGAAACTGTTCACCGATCACGAAGTCATTGCGAAACAGTGTTTGAGCTTTCGGCACAATCGTGCGGATTGTTTGTGTTCATTTCTCAGTGGGGAATTTCTTGTTTTTTTGCTCGGCCATGCTCGGCCCAAGGTACTTCATGATTCTGAAGGCATGGTTGGGGCATTCAGTTGTGATTGTGCTTCCCGAGATGCAACCATGGGCATCGTTAGTTACCGTTAGTTCTCGTATGTGATTATTGATGAGCCACCTGAAAGGCCAAATTGGAGCATACCACCCCCACTCATGCAACAGAAGTTCTGGGTTGGACATTCCTTTGGATCCAAGGTTCTGTGAACCTATACTCCGGGCTGATGGCCCTTGTTTGAACAATTTTCCTCTTACGCGTTAGTTCCTCGGGTTACTCGAGTTCATAGGTGTTCTCAGGCTGGAGGCTGGGAGGGGTCTAATGATCTGAATGGGTAGTCAGACCTCACTGCACCCGCGGCTTGTGATGCCCAACAATACCTGATCAATCCTGTTCATAGCATCACTATTTCAGTAGGCATCCCAGTCATCGAAAGAAGCTTCGATGCGAAATGTGCGAGCTTCGTAGAGTTGCAGCTGCAAGACACTAGCAACATCGCACAACCGGCCACCACACAACGACATTATATATTAGTTGATAGATTCTTGAAACTTCCGCCGTCGGAGCTTACTTGCTGAGTTTCATATCCCTGCCGTGCCGTGGGAGAAAGCAGTGAAGCCAAATCCATCCAAGCCGCCAGAACCAGGCACCATCCAAGCCGCCTGTTGCACCTATGCCTCGCTGCCTTGTAAACTATCATGGGGCACCCTCTCCAAAACCAGCACAGATGGCCATTCCCTATCCAAGAAAACTATGGCGCAGGGTTCTTGCAAGAAGGTGTTCCCAATACACCTCCCACAAAAACTGCAGAGCTTCCACAAGCCGGCCTGATGTCACTGCAGTCGCAAAGCTTGTTTTTGGTTTTGGGGAGTTCTTGCCAGGAGCTGGAGAAGGTGAAAAATGGATATGCTCAACGGGCCCAAGACGACAACCAGATCGTTTGGCCTCCGCGGCCTCAAACCCCAAGATTGAAGAGGACGGATTGACAGACGAGAAGAGGTTGGATTTGACCCCAGATCAGGAAGAGAGCTGCAACAGAAAAGAAACGACCTTTAATGTCAACGTCGGATTAATCAACGCCCCCCCTTCAAGGTCAACAAGGTTTGAGATTGGAGGTGGTGGAGGTCCATGTCACCCTAATACAGATGACGACCTGATGATGGATCATGAGATGATGACCTGGACTTGATGATGGCTGATTAGAAGACAGGATTATTTCTTTGATTGGGATGATTAGGAACAGAAAGAGGTTTACAGGATGAAAGACAAGATGGAGCCCAGAGGGTGGGCTTGATTAATTAATAGAGGGAGGGGCCCTACCATTAGAGGGTGGTAGGGCGTGTGAGGGGTACCCTTTGTGAGCTTGAAAACCTTAAGAGGTTGATAGAGTTTTAATCAGGTAAAATGAACAAATTGTGTTTTAACAGGGAAGGATGAGAAGAAAAAGCAGGATGAACATGATGGATGAGTGGACCAGATTTATTGGATACTGACCAAAATAAACATAAATAATCAGTAATTATAATTGTAATGATAAACAAGTTTATAGTTATTTTCTGGGGCAGCTGGGCTCATTAATGACTTCAGATTTAGATGCCTGAAGCCACAGAGCTAGTTAGATATATATATATATATAGAGATTTGGCATTGTGCAAAGTCAGCGCATGCCCCTTGATCTAATCCTGAAAGACTTTTTGGAGACCTGCCATCGAAGAGCAACGGCAGTGTAGGTGACTTCTTTCTGGAAGGGGAAGGGGTTGCCGTCTTCCACTTCGGACTGCAGAACTGCATCAGTTTTGTTCAGATTCTTGAAGAAACGACCCTTTCCGAGCGACCAGATGCGACAATGGCACACAGGGTTCCACCTCTCTACCTCGCTGTGGAAAGACGTGTCTTTTTTGTAGGAGCCAAAGCCATCAGAAGATTTGGCTGTGAAGGGCGGGGACCTGGATGTCTCACTTGCAACGCTCCAATCAGAAAAGCGCGTGTGTGAGCCAGACAGTTGAGATCAGTTGAGGAAGGCAGTTTGTCATGGCAGTGGGCTCATACACAGAACAGAATTATGGCCGTCGTAGTTCAGTTTTGGTCATCCTTTTCTTATTTGAAACCTCGCTCCGACCTGCTGTTGGAGCTGGTGCCCCTGATTTTTTTCCCAGGATCTTTGTGCCTGGCATGGGCGTGCAAGATGCGGGCAGCTGTATGTACCTCTCCCCCAACTTGGAAGGTTGGCAACTGAGTTTGGAAGCATGGGAGATGTTGGAAGGGTGGGGCATTTATGCCCGTTTCAGTTCAAATCCAGCCTCTTTGGAACATAGTTGATCAACCTTGGGAGCCTGCTTTCCTTTCTTGGTGCTTGTGTATAGGTCCATAGACACCTTCCTAGAGCTCCAGTCAAAACTACACACAGGATGGTTAGAGGTCTTACCTTTGGTGACCCTTCAGAGTGTTGCATGTGGATTGCAATAGTGCTGCTTGTACAGTGCAAAACTTCGACAACAGCTGCATAGACGCAGTGTACAGTGTAGAGTCTCTTGAGCATGTACGGTAATGTGTTTGAATGATCACTGTATAAACATAAATATATAATATTTATGTGTGTATACTTGGTTGCGATATATATATATACATCTATCTATCTATCTATCTATCTATCTATCTATCTATCTATCTATCTATTTATATGTATGTACACAAATGTGTGTGTAGCAAGTAGCAGTTCAAGTTGGGCTCAGAAACATGCTGTGTGTTCCCCTTTCGCATGTCTTGATGCTGTGTGCGTGTCTCGCGCCACAAGCTTTGTGTCTCCCAGTGCCTCCCGTTCCGGCCGCCGGTCTTCGTTTGTACAACAGGAATGGTGCAGAAGTTTGGATCTTCGTTCGCTCGGCGACCGCCCTGCGAAGTTCCCAAGATCGATTCCTTTCACTTCTGATGGTCCCCATGTGGCCATACGCAGGTGGGTAGAAAAGTTGTAGAAATATATACTGTACATAGACTATATATATATATATATGAACATGTTCAGATATTATATATATGTGTGTAGTTAAATAGGGGATGAGTCAAAGCCTGGAGCCCCAGTCCACCATGTAGCTCGTTTTGTGACCCACTTAGTGCAGCGCGGATATTCGGTTTCACTGGGCTAGAGGTACAATACCGTTTTTGTATAGATTGCATTTGTGTGTATTTCAGCATGAAATTAACTTTCTTATATGTGTGTATGGTTCGCACGTTATGTAGATACGTTCCTACTCTCTGGTACCCATCATATGACGAAGGGCCTAGAGAAGCGCAGACACGGAGCGCAAGTCACGTCGGCAGGTTAACAAAGGTATCCAGGTTTCCATCCACTGCCATATAATTATGCGTATAATTGTTACCGGGTAGCCTGCTTAGACATACCTGTAACCGTGTTTTAACCGTTTTAATGCCACAGCGGCAGACGTGCTTTATCTTTGGTTTCTTTCGATACGCAACCCACATGAAAACCCTATAGGTGTTTGGTCCCATAGCACTCCCATGCACTCTCGAAGTTAGTGATTTTGTGTTTTTAAGCGCATTCCGTTGGAGTGGCGTGTTTGGCCACCATGTTGGCCGCAAGCCACCAGGATATGGTGAGCTGCTTGGCAAGATCGACCTTCAGCCATGGCTGGGGTTCCTGGAAAGCTTCAGGTCAGAACCACCCATCCGAAGCCCATCCGAAGCTCGTGGTGTCCCATGACTTGCTCTTGCTATTTGGGGAAAGCCTGAGACCATGTCCATTTCTATTAATTTGTTGTTGACAGCTCTCCGAATGCAACGACAAGTAGTCGACCAGGTGCAGTTGTTGGACTGAAGAACATGTTGAAAGGTGCTGATCCTGCTGATGTCTAGGGAGGTGGTGAGAACATATGGACTTCACCCATGGATCCGGATTTTGACGCACAACATGACGCGGGTTCCTGGTTCCTATAGAACTGGTGAGACAAATAATTCGCAACATCAGAAGCCAGTGGATGAAGTGTGCCTGCGACCTCCACCTTTCGCACTGCCTGAGGTATCCAAGCCTCCGAGAACTCTTTGTCGATCGTCTCCACGTGACCACCAGCCTGTCGGGGGACCTGCTGCTAGGTGGTTTGGGTATGTTTGGGTGCGGACGGGGTTCTTCGGCACCTCTCTGAAGCAGCAGTGGTGCTGAGGACCGAACACCCTTTAGACTGACATAGCCCGCATCCACCAGAAGAAGACGATGCCGCTGGCTGATGACGATGACGATGATGACTCAATGATGACAACGAGGACCAGGACGAACGAGGACGAGGACGAGGACGAGGAGGAGGAGGAGGAGGAGGACGACGACGACGACAAAGACAAAGAAGAAGAAGAAGAGGAGTGTTATGATGATCGATGATGATTAATCATGATCAATGATGATGATCGATGAACATCAATGATGATGATCAATGATGATGATGATCATGATGATGACGACGACGACGACGATGATGATGATAGTCTTCAAACCGACAGGGGCCGTTTCAGTGATTTTGTTGGGAGCGAGTCGGGGGAAGGGGATGTGTTCACAGGCTCCCTCACATGTTTTTTCTTTTGCTGGTGGGCAAAGACGCGGTGCGGGGATTGGATCCATGTCAGAGTCAGCAACATCAGAATCACTACACTACAGCTTCCTGTGAAATTCATGAGCATTGGGAAGGCATGCTGCAGGAAACAAAAGGATATAAAAGGATGATCCATGGCTGGTTACGAGCTGGAGTAGAAGCGGGAGTGTATTGAAGATTGTTCTTTGCCTGTTTCAGCTCTTGAGGTTTCAGACCTTGCTTGCCTCGACACTCCTCAGACCCGCTTCACACCACCACCACCACCACCACAACAACAACAACAACCACAACCACAACAACAACAACAACAACAAACAACCCCAACTCACAGCAGTTGCTTTGGATTCACCCTTCGCCACCGGAGTCGCTTTGGCAAGGTCTTCGCACGGCTGCTTGGAAGCGCTTCGAAGCCTTCGAGGTGGGGTCGGAGCGTGTCCGGGAACGGGCGAACGGTTTCGGTTGACACGAACGGTATCTTTGGAAGACTGACCTAGACTTGGCCGATTTCGCTTGGATTCTGGAACTGTGGAGACTTGGTTTTCAATCAACTCTTAATTGGAGGAAGGAGTAGAGAGAAAGAGAGAGGGAGAGAATCTTTCGAGCATGTTCAAGGTTTGTTTGTGACGTGTGCAGAATGGATGAATGGATTGGCGTGGGCAATGTGGGCCCTTCGAACTGACAAATTCCACACAGCTTCGCGGCCAAGACGGCCACGATGGAGCTCAATGATCATTGTTTTGAAGGCTTTGGAGAGGAAGGAATAGTAGCGATTCCAGGGATTTGGTCGGCAATCCAGATGCAGGAGATCCGGGACATCAGTTTTCCTTTGGCAAAGTTGATGTAGACATATTATTAATGTACACTAAAAATTCTATTAATTCTATAGATACGACCCAAGCGGGAAAGATGAGTTCTGCCAGTGCAGCCCTCCGTCAGGTACAGCTTCCTCAGAAGCCAAGAAGCTCATGAAGCTTGTGGCAGGCGTGCCAGATTGACTCGGAAAACTGCTCAGCAAGTACTCCTTTCGGATTAACATGGTCCCTCAACACCACCAGGCTGTACAGGACAAAAATAGATGATAATTATATAATAGTCTACCCGTGGGCTCAGAGCCGATGTGAGTCCACACGGAGCTATAGATTTCTCGTGATGTCTCATTCCAAACGCAAGATGTTTCAGTTTGCTAAGCTCGCTAAATCCTTTAGCGACGATCTATTTGCAAGACACCAAGCAAAACGCAAAAAGTCAAACAGGAGCGACTTTTCGACTTTTCGTGCACTTTTCGACTTTTCGAGACTTTTTGACTTTTCGACTTTAGTCCCGGTCACTAGTCATGCGATGTCATGCGACTGGTCGTTCGATCGGCTGTTTTCCAGACATCTCCAGCCGTGTCCAAGTGAGTCAGCATCGAGCAGGAACGCCTGAGAGAGGATCTGGAGGTCAAAACACGCAGCCCCGATGACCAAAAAAGAGACGCCCGCCAAAAGGACTCGGCAAGCCCCGGGACCTCTTTTGGCGGGTGACTCTTTTTATCATCGTTCTCTTTCGTGCACTTTTAGACTTTTCGCGGTCGAAACAAAAAGTTCGGAGAGCAAGTAGATCCAGCTCACACATTTAGCAACCACAGTCATTTTGCCGGGCCAGATTTTGGTTCCACTGCAGGTCGCCACCACTCCGCATGATGGTTCGAGGGTTAGATTGACACTGGGATGATGGCGCTGGAACAGAAGGTTTTTTTTTGCACGGGTAAGGGCGCTATGTGTGCCGAGAGGCACAAGTCACCATGGCGCTGGAACAGAAGGGGGTTCTGACCTTGGTTTAGTTTATAGATTTTTGGAGGGGGTTCGATGATTTCCACGTCCTTGCTGGATCCAGACTATTGGGTAGTTTCGCTTGACAGTTTTTCCGTCCTTCTCAATCTCCTCAAGCTCCTGCCCAGGCCTACTCCTCCAGCTCTACGACATGGTTCGAGCTGATCCAGCATCTCATGAGGCTTGCGCGGGCGACGAAACGCGAGTGGGTGCCAGGCGAGCAATGCTCACCGGGCAGCCTCCCATCCATTTTGGGTGCCAGGGCTCTCATCATGCTGAAATAAACCCACCATCGCTCACCCGTATTGCTAAACCAATGGGCCGCTAACCCAATGCATGTGAGCGGTCACCTTTTGCATGCGGTTTTTCTCAATATGTGACATGTGTTTCTCACACCTATACTCACATTTTCACATCAGAGTTTTCAGTCCACGTTTGTGTTTATGTTTGGCGTAAAGACGCGGCTAGCGCTGAAAGATGCTGAAAGCATCTCCGCATGGACGCCCAGAACACATGGGAACAAGCGCATCCAGGGAGCTCCAAAAGTGTGGCCTTAGCCAACCAGTGACTGGAGAACACCCCTACCACCCTACCCGACCTCCAATACCCTGGCCTCCATCCCTTCAATTCTTAGGTGGAGCTTTCCGCCTTGCGCAAGGACGACGCGGGAAGTGGAAGCCAGTGGATTGAAAGCGCAGTAGGCGCCGTAGTTCTAGATGGCACGTGAAGTCTTTAACTTCCAACTTGAGTCGAACCTTCAGAGCTGTGAAACAAAATACTGAACTGCAGATCTTTGTATGGGCAAAATGTTTGCATTTGAGGACCCAAGCAAAGAGCTGCCCGTTGTATCTTCTAGACATGCCCATCGAGCCACGACCTTTGCCATACCAGCACATTTGCAGCAGGGAATTCTGCTGTCACTCTTTACGCCAGTTGAGCTCACACATCTAGCACCTGAGCATGGCTGCCATAGCTTACCTGTTGAAAGTGATCAGCATTTTGTCTACCAGGAGGAGCTCCTGCCAGTGCTTCATCAATCGGAGCTTCGTGCGCAACCTTGGTGAAACCTTGGTGGGCTGGGACTGAGCAGGTTGGAGCGCTAGGTTTCAATCGCAGTCTCGCGGCCTGCGACGCCTCAGATGATATAGGAAATGGATGGAAATGGTATGAGTTGATATCTACTACTGTTCTCTACTGTTAGGAAATAACTGTTCTTTCTTCTACCCTCATTACAATAAGGAATCTAACTAATGGTTATACTGTTCTATCTACTGTAGGACTTCTGGGGTCACCGTGCGGTGTTCCTTTTCGGGGTGCAATGAAGGCGAAAGTTGGTAAGCAGATCCCCGGTCGCGGCGGCATAGATTCCCTTACATGGCTATAAGTCTGTAAGTCAAGATCTCCAGACTTGTTCAACTGGACTTGGTAAACTATTCACCTTGAAGGGTAGGGTGATTGGAACATTTGCATGCTCACAGGAGAGAAGATCATGGCAACCTCCGATCTCCAACCCGCTTCCACGCGGCGTTCGTTGCTCAACTTGGCCCAAGCTCCCGTGTCTGAGAGAGGCTCTCTGCACGGGCCATGGCAACGCCATCGGTGATCGGCTGTCCACAGATGGGCGCCACCGAGGAAGGGACTCGCGGCCGATGGTCGGCAGAGCTCAAGGTGGAGGGGATGACTTGCGCAGCATGCAGCGGTGCGGTCGAGAGGGCTTTGAAGCAGATGAAGGGCGTGAAGGAGGTGTTGGGCAGTGGGAGCATGCACACCGTAGCCATTTCGCTCGCCTTCCTGCAAAAATATTGTAGGGGATCCACAAGAAAAGTCAGAAGTCCTGCTTCTCTCCAGGTTTGTGATGGAGTATGATGAAGTTCAAGCGCTTCACGGCGCACTAAGCGTGGCATTGCTTTGGCAATAACCCATTTTATATACCACTCAGATTATATAAGACTTGTGTATTTATACATCAAAAGTGGCCAGCACAAAAAACTGTTCCTTGCAGTGAAGCCGATTTCATGAGCCAAACCACTGTGGTCGCAGTTCTGTTGCCCTTCCACTGTTTGTAGTGACTTCATGTGTCTTCTTCACCGGTGTCCTGCGTCAGAAAGGTGGAGGTGAACTTGCTCCGGGCCCGTGCCAATGTGACCTTCGACGCGACAATCTCCGCTGAGCAGCTTGCCGAGGAGGTCGAATGCACTGGCCGCTTGGAGTAGCTGGGAGTCAGCCAGGGGCGGTGCTTTTTGGGGAAGCCCAAGTCCCAAGTGCCGGAGGGAGAGCCATAGAGAGCCCAAGAATGCGTGGTTTCCTACAAACAATTGTTCCTTATGTATCCTTATGTCAGCTAAGCTTTGTAACCTGAAACACTCCCACCCTCTCAGGTGGATCCACTGACTTGTAGGATTAAGATTGATAGAGCAGTGAAACCACTAGGTCCTGTTACACTGAAAAACTGGATCACTTCCAGTTGTTCAGTCCAAGTCAAACACATCAAACCCCCTTGGTCCCCAGGCTTCGACGCCAGCGTCCTCACGGTGACCGACCTGACGATCTCTGACGCCGTGCGTCGCGTCGAGCTGCGCGTCGAAGGGATGACCTGCGCCGCCTGCAGTGGCGCTGTGGAGCGGGCACTGAAGGCTCTGTCGGGCGTGCTTGACGTCCAGGCGCGATCGACGTCCATGCTGGGACAATGTGGGACACGGCATGGTGGAAAACACAACGCTTGACATGGTGGGTTGAGACCGAGGACAAAGACACGAGATGTGACAAGCAGATTGGCGAAACAACGTCAACTCATGCAAATGAATCACATCCTGCACTGTGTGTGGATCACCTGCGCCGAAGAACGACCTCGTAAACCTCGTATATCCAGGTGAGCCTCCTCCGCAGCAAGGCAGTGGTTCGTTGTACAGTAGACGCTCCAAGCGCCGATGCCATGGCGGATGAGGCGGAGCGGCAGATGGAGGGATGGATTCTTCACCCTGAGTCGCCGGGGATTTGTTGGTTGTTTGAGAGGGAAGGGGGGGGGGTTTGACCACCCTTGTGGAGGAAAACCGGCCACATCTTGGGTAGTGGATGTTTATGGCCCACAAACATGTTGTCTCTTACAACTGGAAGGTGGTGACCACATGTGACCACGGTTCATGAGCTTTTTTTGCCTGCTTTAGGCAACACAATTGCCCCCAGGTCATGGAAAGCATGAGGCACAAAGAAGAAGCGCTTGTTACTTCACTATATAGCTGTTGGCCGGATTTTGGTGTATGTTATGTAACTCTCCAGCAGATCCGATAGTTTGTACTTGGCCGCTTGCACCAGGTCGAGGCTTGTGGTTTCGAAGCGAAGGTCAGCTCAGAAAATGAGGCGCTTGATCCGAATCCTGCTATGGTTTTTTTGTCAGAAGTTACGGCAAGCAACCCTCATTCAGGCCCCGAGCACGCCCCTTCTATGCATTCTTGTGAAAGCCACATAAAGGTTCCATGGAAATCCAGGAGCTTCCAGAAGGACCACGGCCCCGGCTTCAGCCGGAGCAAGCCAAGCTGCATTTACATGCCCTATCGCCCGAGGAGGCACAGGGGGCGCAAGAAGCTCGGCTAAAGATGCAGCAGTGAATCCTACAGTGGGTCTGTCCGAATTTTGGGTGTCCACAAATCTGGGTGGTGCCTCAACTAATTAGAAGTTCATTGGTTAGGTATATAGAATCTGAAAATTAACTACATATAAATGTGTATAGTTGTGTACATATATATATATATCGAACGTTAACATGACACGGCAGCTTCCTTTATCGCGATCCTCAGCTCACATGTAAAATTTGATTTGGGAAAAAAATGCTGTTTGTTTGGGTGTTTGGGTCAGAGTGGGTCACGATGACGCTTAGGAGGCTTTGGAGAAGATGACAGGCATCCTCAGTGCGGCTTGGTGGTGTACTGTTTTTAATGCTTCAATGCCGGGAGGAGGCTGCTCATAAGTTCATCAGTCTCTCACCTCTTCTTGTTTCTTGTCGCTGATGTGGGTGTCACCACCGCTGACACCGCCTGTGAGGTCGTCATTTTCAGAAGCTGCTATCTTCGTGTTTTGTACAGGCCCGATGAGGCCAATCCCCGGGAGGTCCTTGCGAGTCTGACGGGCCATGGCCTTCGAGTGGATCACATCAGCCAACCTGGATCTGAAGAAGAAGGGCCAGCGCAGTCCTTGAAGGGAACCTTGGTGAAGCACGATCCAAGCATCTTCAAACATGAAAACGCGAGAGAGAAGGGACTTCTCTGGAACGAAGGTCGCTGGTCTAGCACACAAAAAGGAAGATCAATGAAGGTCATGTCCCCCAAAGAGCTCACTTTGAAGGTGCCGGGATACGGTGTTTTCTTTCAATAACTTGGCGTTTGGTGGCTTCTGGAGCAATTAGTTGTCATAAGTTATATATTATCAGGTTTATAATTGCAATAACATTGCATATATAATGGAGAATTGCGGTTGCATAGATAGATGGGAACGATGTCATTCTCATTTCTCGTGACACCCAGACTCCTTGGGTCGCCTACAGCTGAGGAGATTTGCGATGTGCTCTTCCACCCACCTTGCTGATCATCACGTTGGTCTTTCTTTTCCCACTCTGTGGCCTCCAGCGACCCCTCCAGTTTGAGCTGTTTCTGCCGGGCTTGAGGGCGGAGACCTTGTTGCTCTTCCTGCTGGCCACTCCCGTGCAATGCTATGCAGGCCGCAGGTTCCACCAAGCCGCAAAGAAAGCGCTGAAACGGAGGTCTCCGAATATGGACGCCTGACATACGCCTGACGTTCTTTTTTTCATGTTTTTGTTGGAGTCGTTTAATGTTTTTGTTTGTTTGCTTCAATGCCACGAAGTGATAGACATGGGCTCCAAAGAGATTTGGAAGGAGTCGTGGAGTCGTTGAGCGCTGAGCAGGTAGGGTGCTTTGCCCAAAAAACATTTAGGTTGACGGTTGACACATGTTGACACCCACATTTCGAGCTGTGTCCGCCGTAGAGGGACTCAGCCTGACTCTGAGACTCAGCGCAGCAAGGACGTGCTGATTTCAACCGCCACCTGTTTAGCCTATGGCCACTTGGAAGCAAGGTTTGAATGGGCAGGTTCGAGATTCTTGCTGTTTGCAGGATTTTGGGCCGGCTTTGGTCCTCGAAAAGCTAATTTTGTTGAGGGCGGTGAAAGGAAGCAATGTCCGTTTGTAAGCGCCAGTGTTCACTGGGTGAAAGTGCTGGCCAAAAAAACAGTGTGTTTTAACTGTTTTAGACCGTCACGCAACGCGTTGAAAGTTGAAAGCTGCCTGTTTGGCTCGCGCGTCACCGGCGTCCCGAGCGAGCTTCAGGTTACTCCACCTTTGTGATGGTCCTCAGTGTGGGCTTTGCTTTCTTCGGTGAAACGCAGGACATCCAACCACTTGGGACGGGGGTCCGGGATGGGTTGGCAGTTGGCAAGCCGTTTCCAAAGTGGTCAAGAAACAACGCACAGTTGTAGGTTTTAGGCTTGTTTTTGGCGACTACGCATGAAGGATCCACACACCCACAAATTGTGGTGCATTAATTCTGGAGGGCCGCGGCCCGTTTTGTATCCCAAGAAAAAGGCGTGCCATTGCAGGAAGAGCCACCGCCCCACTTTTTTGAGACACCCTGTAGTCTCATCACAGTGGTGCTGATCGGACGTATGCTGGAAGCTGCAGCCAAGCAACGCACCACGGATTCATTGGATGAACTGGTGCGGGCCAGTCCGGCGACCGCCAGGGTCAATGGGGAGATGTTGTCCACGGAGCCTTGGATCAGGCGATTTAACTGACCAGCCGTTGTCAAGCAAGTCTGTTTACTACCATCCGTAGGTTGCGGAAAGATGTAAAGTGCAGTAAGACCGCTGCTTGCCTTGGTGGGCCCTCGACTCAGTCGTGGCATTTCCCCCATACGACTGGGACTGGGCGACAGATGGAACGAGCTTGGCCGACATGGGCTGACCCATGTCGTTTCCATGGGATACTGCTATATAAGTTGCTATATATATTCCATAGTCTTCTATACAGACATGCATTTCT